CATCAGAATCCCTGAAACTGGAGTTACATATGGTCGTAAGCTACCATGTGGGTGTGGGAGACCAAACCTAGGTCCTCTGCAAGAGTAGTAAGTGTTCTTAACTGCTGAGCCATCTCTTCAGCCCCCTTTTAATATTCTTACTGAATATATTAAACTACTTTAAAAAAATCATTAAGTCTTGGAATTATAGTTTTCAAAAATCTTAGCAAACTTTATTTTTAAATTTAGTGTTAGGCACAATTGCTCCAGTTACATTTTACCTTGAAAATTCGTCTTTGTTTTCATCTGCCAGAATGTTTCAGAGTCTGTCTCTAGCTCTGACAGCTTGTGTCTTTAACTTCATATCATTTGCAATTTTTATAAGAATTTAACATTGTGAAAGACTGAAGTGAACTTGGAGTTCTGTAGCAGGCAATGGAACTATCCATCTACCCTCTAGTTCAGCACCCTACACTCCTAGTGCCATAAAGGTGATTATTCATCAGGTCCCTAGCCCACTTAATTATTCCAGCACGTGACTCATTTTCTAACCTTATCTCAGGAGCACAATGAAAAACAGTGTCAAAAAATTCTCTGAGGTCTGGATATACTATAGCTACCACCTATAGCTGGCCAATCAATCTAATAATCTTGCAAAAGAATAACTACATACCTAACTCCTGAAAGTTTGCATGTCCAGTGTACTAGGGATTGAACCTAGAGCCTCATCCATGCTAGGCAAGCACTCTATCTCTGAGCTACAACCCCACAGTTCACATGCATTTAAGCTCCACTTAATGTTTACACATCCTCCTGATGCTGAAATGGAGGAGGGACCTGACCCTAAGGAGGTTAGGTAACTGATCAGTGTCACAAAGGTGGTAATACCAGTCCTGAGTTTAACAGCATTCTTTACCCTGACCAGTGAGACTGAATAGCTGATGCCTCCTTCCTTCCATGGATGATTGCTTCCTTTCCATGTGCCCAACAGTCACTATTTTAATTGTCCACATAATGTCTGCTCAACTGTCTCCCCACTCCTGAATTAATCTCCCAGTTTTATACTCCAAAAATACTACTGTCAAGTTTGGCAAATATCCTTTTTAAAAATATATGTTATTTATTTATTTATTCATTCATTCATTCATTCATTTATTTTTGGTCTTTTTGAGACAGGGTCTCCCTGTAGCCCCAGCTGTCCTGGAACTCACTATATAGACCAGGCTGGCCTTGAACTCACAGAGATCCACCTGCCTCTGCCTCCCAAGTGCTGGGATTAAAGGCGTGCACCACCCCACCCAGCTTATTATTTTTATTTTATGTGTATGAGTGTATTGCCTACATGTATGTGAGTGCACCCATGTCATGCAATGCTGTGGAGGTCAGAAGAGGGCTTTGAAGTCTCCTGGAATAAGGATGGTTCATAGCCACCATGTGGATGCTGGGAATCGAACCGGGTCCTCTGCAAGAGCAGTCAGTGCTCTTAACCACTGAGCCATCTCTCCAGCCCCAGCAAATATCCTTTTAAGCACACACACACACACACACACACACACACACACACACACACTCACACTATGTTTTGGGCTCTTTTTTTGTAGGGTACTTGGTGCTGGAGATTGAATCCAGGGCTTCAGACATCTTAGTTGTATGCTTTACCACTGAGCTACATCCCCTCAGTGAAAGAATATGATTTTGAGTGTATTAATATAAGTACATGTATAAATGTGTGCACAGACAGACGGACGGATGGATGGATAGATACACGGACAGACAGGTAGATACATAGATAGATACATAGATTCAGATAACTTTGACTTTCCAAAATCATATAAATTTGTTTGATTTTCCTAGAGTTTTAAAATACCTCTCAGTTTTTTTAATCTAAGGAATGAAGTGAAATTCGTATTTTTGTTTTTTTTTTAAATGGCTAGCCTCTTGACACAACACCATTCTGAGTTACTTGTCTTTTTTTCCACTGAAATACTATTTTTACCGTTTAGTAAATTTCTAAGTATGTTTGGATGCCGTACTTTATGCTCTTTTTCCCTAATCCATGTACTCTTGTTTTAATTACTATGTTGTTGCTAGAACTTTCCTAGTTGTTTTTTTGAAAACCTTTTTGTGCTGGATAGCTTTAGTGTCAACTTGACACACCTGGGTTGAGGGAGCCTCAATCAGGAAATTGCCTCTATTGGACTGGCCTGTGGCCATGTCTGAAGGGCATCTTCTTGATGAGTGATGTGGGAGGGCCCAGCCCACTGTGGGTGGTGCCACCCCTGGGCAGCTGGGCCTGTGTTGCATAAGAAAGCAGGCTGAGCAGGAGCCGAGGGAGCAAGCCTGTAAGCAGCGTTCCTCCATGGCCTGTGCTCCAGCTCCTGCCTCCAGGTTCCTGCCCTGAGTTCCTACCTTGGGCTCCCTGATGAACTATGACCTGGGAGATGTAAGACAAATAAACCCTTTCCTCCCCAAGTTGGTACTGGTCAGAGTGTTTTGTCACAGCAATAGAGAACAAACTAAGACACTTTTTCAGTTAAATTTTCTGATTTGGATTTTACTTCTTCCTAACCAAATATCTTTCTGTCTTCTCAGTACAATGATCATTCTCTTTGACAAACTAAACAAAAAGAAAAACTGAGATCTTCACTTTCTTTTCTCATCCGTAAAGATTATCTCATGAGCTCCAAGCAGGAGCCCACATCTCCTTCCTTAAATTTCTTACTGTGGGTTGAATTAAAGCTGTCCTTTTCATTACCCAGGCTTCTCCTTGGCGGCCTCATTGAGCTGGGCTTTCTAGGAACTCTCCTTTGAGCTTCCTCATGCATGGTTCCTTGTTCTCTGTACCTAGTGATCTGAACTCATCTCCTGCTGCAAACCCTGCTGAGTTGGACAATGTGCAGCTGAGGTCACTTCCTACTGCAGAGTCAAAAGATACATTTTGGAGAACTTCCTCATCTTCTTGGCCCCTATCTTGTACTTTGACTGCTCACCACATAATGGTTCAATTAACTCAAGAAACAAATGCTTTGCCTCCATGGTTCCTTTCCACTTTCCTGGTTCCTGCAGTTATATCAGGATATATACTCACATAAAGGATTTGTTGCTAAGATCCACAAATGAGCAAGAACATACGTGACTTGTTTTTCTAAGTCTGTGTATCAAGGGGGCAATGGGGGTACTTTAACTGGGAAGGAAGGAGGGAGGTTAGACGGGAAGAGAGAGAGGAGAGATAAATAAAGCTTAGGTGGTATGAAAAACCAGAGGGGAATGTATTAGCTCAGAAACCTACCAAAAAATACACATACAATATCTGAACATGAGTGCACGTGTATATCTGAAGGCTATATAACAAGAAACACAGTGCCAGACAGGAGAAACCTCCCTTCAAGTTGTTGGTCAGTGTGGTCCAAGCAACTCCCAAAATAGCATAGGCTATTGCCACAATCTTTGATCACCTCCCAGAACTTGGAGGTAAGACCCTATTGCTGAAGACAGGGCATACTTTTTGGAACAGTGAAGCTAGAAAAGGACTGGAAGTCTCCTCTCTGAAGACTGGCTTTCATGGTTCTAGGGGATACTATGCAAGCTGCCAAGAGAGAAAATCAATCAATGGTCCAACCCAGCTCCAAAACCTAATAACCACAATGGCCAGCACAGCAAACTATTGGTGCAGTAGTGGCACCTAATTGGACTTAAAGCCCTCTCAGTGGGAGGGAACTCATGGGTGGTACTATAAATATAACCAAATACGCATGGTTGGAGAGGTCATAGATCCTAGATAAAACCCTATCTCTGTCAAATGAAATTTCTTACTGTATGCTAAATATGGGTCCTTATATTTATAGATAAGTATACCATGTACCACCCATCAAAGAAGATTCTTTTTGCAACAAATGGAGGCTATTACAGAGTTCCACAACTGGTCACACACAGACAGTACATCTCTGAGAGATGCCCAACCCTAAGTGTCACATCTACAGTGAAACTTCTATGTCTAAGGCCTAGGAACATAGTGGAACAGGGATAGAGAGAATATTAATGTATCCCTCAACTCTCACCAGCAAAGCTTCCTCATCCACCAGAGTATGATGCACACAGAAGGTCACAACTAGCCAAGTTTTAGAGAATAACAGACTGCAGAGTGTGTATCCCTGGATATGACTCCTGTATTAAACCTCAACCAGGGACCATTTTGGAAAAGGGGGAAGAAAGGCTGTAAGAGCCAGGGTTGGTACATGAACATTAGGAAACAGACTCTCCCAGGCCTCTGGAAATTCGCTCATGTGAACTTGCAGCAATGATAACAGCAATGCACAAGGTCCATGCAGACTCAATCAGGTAAAAACCCAGCATAAAACTGGGAAAATGGGCAGCAGGCCCCAACCTTAGCCCAGGAACTATTGGCAACCAATTACTGTTGGTTGAAGGAGAGTAGGTCTTCTTTGAGGGAGAGACTCTAGATAGGCTGACTAGATTCCAGTGGATGAACTTGCGCCGAGGGACATCTAGGTACAAAAACTTGACTCAATAGGCCTTTTCATATACAGCAGAATGCATGAAATCTGGTGCGGGGTGGGTCTTGGGGGATGTGGATGGGGAAGAGATGTAAATATGATTAAGATGTATTATATGAAATACACAAAATTTCAATAAAAATGTTAAGAATAAAAAAGAAACAAGATGCTGAGGCAACTAGCTCAACAAGAAGGTGGAGGTTTCTTGTTCAAAGTCCACCTGGCCTAGAAGCTGATTTAAGGATGGTTTATGTGGGCGGTACATGAATGGTCCCAGACTTGTGGGTGCCTTCCCTCAGCAAGTGATGGATAACTGTAAACTGACAGGGCCTTCTCCCACGGGAAGGACTAAATGAGGTACATCTGATCCAAAGTGCTTGCACTACATGCTTTTCAGTTCTACAAATCTCAAGAACAAAGGTCATTAGTCCCTTGGGCTACTCTTAGCCCCAGTTAGTTTGCCCACATGCACTTCCTGATGTATTATTACACGTCGCTCTATTTCAGGTCGGAGAGCAGTCTTCCTGTCAGTCTCCTTCACCTGAGCTGAAAGCAATGTGCCCACAGATCCACGTCTTATCTCAAGCCCTAAGTCCGTGGCATTGAAGGAAGGGAAGGAAGAGATGCCACCAGCATCTATCATCAGAAGCTAGAAACTGCAGGAGCTGGGTTCCCTTAATCACTGGAATATTTTGTCATTTCATTCACTAGAGAAGGAATGGATGACCATCTTTACTTATCTTTTCCCATCTGCTATGGTTCTCAATCCAGGGTGCATATTTAACCACCTGGGAAGCTTACAAACTCTCAGGATCAGGACTCTACTCCAAAGTAATTGACCAGAAACTAGTAATGGGACCCTAGCACTGATATGTTTAAAAGATCTCCAGGTTGCTCTGATGTACAGGTACACTGCCTATGGGTAGAGAGCTGTAAGTGTCTCTGGAGCCCAGTGCAGAGCTTTTTTGTACAGTCAGTCCTCCATATCCATAGATCCCAGATCCTTGGATTCAACCAGCTGCTGACCAGGCCTATGCTGCTTGCTTCTCTGCTGAACATGTTCAGACTTTTCTCATTGTTATCCCCCAAACAACATAATATGGCAACTATCTTGTCCTAGTTTGTTTCTTCATTGCTGTGACAAAGCACCCTGATCACTACCAATTTGGGGAGGAAAGGGTTTATTCAGCTTACATCTCCCAGGTTGTAGTTCATCAGGGAGTCCAAGGTAGGAACTCAGGGCAGGAACCTGGAAGCAGGAACTGGAACACAGGCCATTGAGGAATGCTGCTTACTGGCTTGTTCCCTTGGCCCCTGCTCAGCCTGCTTTCTTATACAACACAGGCCCACCTGCCCAGGGGTAGCACCACCCACAGTGGGCTGGGCCCTCCCACATCACTTATCAAGAAGATGCCCCATGGACATGGCCACAGGCCAGTCCAATAGAGGCAATTCCCTGATTGAGGCTCCCTCAACCCAGGTGTGTCAAGTTGACACTAAAGCTATCCAGCACATATCTATAGCTATGTACATTGAATTAAATATTAAAACTGTTAATGCAAAAGCACAACTCTCACCTCAAAGGGGGATAAGAGATAGTTTATTCTAGAGCCAAATATGAGTAACCATGGCCCGGGAACACAGATTCAGTTTAATCCAAATTTCATGTTCCAACATGGTAACAGCTTCATGAAGTTTTTATAGTAACAAAACAAAGAAAGCCATGAGACAAGACATTTTTTCAAATATATTGATGGAGACAACAGAGAAGCAGGTTATAGCAAAACGGGGAAAATTCTACTATAGGCCTTAGATGCTAGATTTCTTAGCCCTTGGGTTGGTGGAAGCTGGTGGTCTGCTAAGTTAATACCTGCCAAAGGTCAGAAACAGGTGAGCAAGGAGTGGCTAGTTAGGGGGCTAAAGGTAGCTCAAGATAAAGGGTAATTAAGCTCTGGACCTGCAACATGCCAAACTCTTCACAACCACTGAAGTTCTAATCAGTTGATCAGCCTTGCAGGTGTGGTTTGAAGATAACAGGGTTTTCCTGGGAAATTTGTTAACATAAGTAATTTAGAGATGACTTAAAGTATATGGGATGTGTATAAATTACATGCAAAGACTGTACCATTTTATATAACGGATTTAGATATCTTCAAAATTTGATGTCTGAGGGGGTTTCCTGGAACCAATCCCCCTAGTTACAGAGCAGTGAGTATATATTTTTATATGTATGGCAGCAAGATTTCTAAAAACTTGAAAAAAATCAAGAGGAAGAAATTTTCCAGCTACATTATTCTCTAAAAGACTAGAAATGTGATTAAGCAATTTTTTATAATCTATTACTGGTTTTAACTCCTGAAAATTGTTTCTAAAGTATGTTCAGTAGGATGCTATATAAATATAAAGCCACCCACATTATCAGTGCAATACAGGATCCATGCAGCTCCAAAGGTTTCAGCTGTAAGACTCAAAGGTAGCAGAACAAGAGGTGGTAATTCTATCGCTCTTTTTGTCTGGACCAGCAAATGAACAGTACATGCAACGTTGCTAGTGCCGCCACATGCTTAGGTGTTCAGCCTCGCATCCAGGCTGGGAAGCTGCCAAGCAAATGTTCTCCTCTAATAGAATGTTAAGGCCTCAGCAGGACTCAGACTTTAATTCCTATCATCTCCTGACTGCCTTCCAATCATCTACTTTTCTGCAGAAATAGGGCTGGTTTCAAAATTCTTTAAGAAATAAACTAATGCATGGATGCATAGAGGAGCTTATCTGAATGCAAGCAGACATTTCATTTTCAAAAGTCTCTAACTTGTTGGAAAATAAAAGAGTTGTCGGAAGAAGGGAAATTACTGATAATGATAGCTTACAGAGTGAGTCTGAGTAAACTAAGCTTCAAGGGTGGGGAGGGACCGGACAGGTTTCAGCCACATACTGGTGGCACCAGGATCTGGGATATAACATTAAATCATGCAGCTATTCAACTCATCCTCCCATGTTCCTCTCTGCTTTCACATCTGCCTAGAACCTCCAGATCCTAAACCTGCCTAGAGTTCTGTGGTGTGACTGTGTTCTGAACAAGACTGGATTTCTCATTGGCCAAGCCAGTGACTGTCCAAGGACTGCCCCTCAACCCTCAAGAGTTATATTTCCTAGTACCACTCACAGACCACCAGTGGACCATGATTCTAGAGGCTTGAGCAGTACAATTTAGGAACTATTTTTAAGAAAAATAGCATGAGCTCAGTGTGTAATGCACACTTGTAAACCCAGCACTCAGGAGGCTAAGGCAAAAAGATAGCCTTGAATTCAAGGATACCTTGGACTATATAGTGAGTACCAGGCCAACCTGGGTTTCAGAATGAGACTATCTTTAAAAAGAGGAGGAGAAAAGGGAAAAAAGGGGGTTTAAGGGAAAACAGTACAAAATTAGGAATAACAGCAAATATAAAATATAAATTTTGAATGAAAAAATTATATTAAACACAAAGCTAACATATGTCACAAACATCACAAATTCCAGAAAAATGATGTAGTTCTTTTGTTTAGATTTCTTTTTCATTAGGGGGCTCTCTCCCTGACACCTACACAAAAGAGCCAGCATCCTTTGCATGGGCCTCTCTTCTTTCTCCCTCATTTCTTTAACTCCACTGCACTTATCCAGAGCTTAGAATCTATTCTATTTGTTTATGTTCTGTCTTTCTCCCCATGAGAATATAAGTTCTAGAGGGCAAAAGCATTTTCTGTCTAGTTTGCCATTTTGCTCCCAAACTCAGAATGTGATAAGCATATTCCTTCATTAATACTGATAGGGAATTGATCCCAATGAGTCACTCCTGCTCAGGGTGAACATCAAAATCTGTGTATGCTCAAATCATTTACATTAAGTGGCACAGTATTTGCACACAATCTTATGCATTTTAAATTATCTCTAAATCAGCTAAAATACCTAATACCATGCAAATGTCAATGCTATATCAATAGTTGTTTTTATTAGTGAAGGCATAATGGCCAAAATAAGTTTGTATATATTCACCATAAACATAAATTTTTAAAAATATTTTTGATCTTCGATTGGTTGACTCCATGGGTGTGGTGCCTGAAGACAAGGAAGGCTGGCTTTAGTCCATGCATGTTTATTCAGAAGATGCTTCCACCTAGAATTCTGTAGTTTACAAAATGTATGTAGACTGTGAATGAATTTTTGTTTTCTTGTGGTTTTTTTCCCCTTTATTATGATCTGTGTGTGTATGTGAATGCAAGTGCTTTTACCTGCTGAACCAGCTCACTCAGCCCTACTTTTTGTTTTAAAAAAGTAATATTTATAACTGAAGGGGGGGCTCAGTGTTAGAGCATCTGTGAAAGCGATAGGGAGGAAGAGAGGGGAAAAGGAGAGAGGGAGGAAGGGAGGGAGGGAGGAAGGAAGGAAGGAAGGAAGGAAGGAAGGAAGGAAAGAAAGAAAGAGGGACTAGAAATAGATCAAAACTTTTAAAAATGATTATCTTAAAATAATAAAATAATCGGTGACTTCATTCTAGTTTTCTAGATATTCCAATGTCTTTTCAATGGCATATTTACAATTCTACTTGAATTAGAGGAAAGATGCTTGGGACAATTGTGAGCTGAGAAAAGTAGAACAGAGAACGTATCTCTTATGAACTTGATTTGTTCACATTTGCTTTGCTTTGGTTTTGGTCTTGAGAGCAGACTCCTGCTGTGTAGCCTAGGCTGACCTGAAATTGGTCATCCTTCTGCCTGTACCTTTAGAGTGCTGGAACACCAGGCATGCCCCACCATATCAGCTGTTTTATGATTTTTTTAAGACATAAAGGAAATACAACAATAATTTGATATTATTTCCTCTATAAGTTGGAATAACAATGAGTTTCCATTACTTTCTACTTTCTTTTTTCATAGATTTTTTTATAATGGACATAAGTTGCTTTGATAATGCACAAAAATAAATATAATAAATGCTATTGTGAAAAAAGAATGGGAAACCAGGCCTGGTGGTGCCGCACACTGGGGAGGCAGAGGCAGGCGAATCTCCATGAGATCAAGGCCAGCCTGGTCTGATATTTAAAGGAGTATGAGAAGGCAGAAGGATACCAAGAAGGCAGGGTAAAGTAGAAATGGGAGACTGTATCAATTACTTTTCTTCTTGCTGTGTCCAAATGCCTGACAAGAATTAAGGGGAAAAAGGGCTTACTTTGGCTTAAAATAAAGCTTGTGAGGATACAGCCCATCATGATAGGGAGGGCTTGGCAGCAGGAGAATGAGGCACTGGTTACATGGCTTCTGTAGTCAGGAAGCCGAGAAGGGACAGAAAGTGGGTACTGCCCCCAGTGTCCCGCTTCCTCCAGCCATGTTCCTGTTCCTAAAGGTCCACAACTTTCCAAAGCAGCACCACCAGCTGGAGACCAAGTGTTCAAACACATGAGCCTGTGAGGGACATGGACACCACAAGCAGGACCTTGAGATTAAGATAGTGATTGATAGGGATAGAAAGAGGGACTGAGCACAGGGAAGGACAAATGCAATAGTGGGGAACTGAAGCAGAGAAAGCATGAACGTACCCTCACTTTGATGGAAATAGGTGCCCACCTTCAGAGCTCCATAAATAAGTCCTAAAACAATAAATTAGACTACCAGGGGGAGGGGAGTCAAATTGAGTAGAATATCATTCTGTAAACTTCTGATGGGCTCTTTTTGAAAGGAATGCAGAAACACTATATTTTGAAATTGCCCTAAATGCTTTCTTACCTCTACTTTTTTAAATGAAGCATCTGAATAAGGATATTCATGACTTAATTGTGCATGGGTTGATGCACATGGGTTGACTGACCGTAACTGAAAACAACAGGACACATTCTTCTGGTCTCCAAGGATTACCTGGGTAATGGAATAATAATGATAATTAGGATGTGGTGAATCTACCTCCTCACTATGAAATAGAATGCCAAATAGAAGTAGTTAGTATTCATTGAAAGCAGCACGCACATAATCAGATAAAAGAAAAGTACTTAATGAAGGCAAGAAACACTTAGTGGAAAGTCCTTTAGCATTTATTTTTATAGGACAATAAAATAAAATGTGAGTTAGTTTTAAA